CGCGCTTCTTCATCATTGGATGGCAATGTACGCACGACGAACTCGGTGGTTGTAGGGATGTTGGTAGATCCTTCAGCTACTTCACCATTTTGACGTACTGGGGCATCGCTTTCTACTTTGCTGTTGCGGCAGTTCATACCGTCACGTACGCTCTTCGAGGTCGATCGCTACTCGATAGCCTCCCGCGACCGCTGCAGGCGCTTCATGCGCTGTTCTACTCGACCATTGTCACGTATCCGTTCCTCGTCACGATAGTATATTGGGTAGTCTTGTATAAGGGACCTTGGTTTCCTGAGGAGTTCAATGCCTGGAGCAACATCAGCCAGCATGGCTTGAACAGCCTCTTTGCGCTTTTCGAAATCATCATTCCCCGAACGAATCCCCCTCAGTGGGTGCACATTACGTGGTTGATCTTCATTCTTGCGCTTTACCTTGCCCTTGCGTACCTCACCCACGCGACGCAGGGGTTCTACGTATACAACTTCCTAGATTATCAAGATGTTGGCGGACGAGGCATTGTTGCAGGATACATTTTGGGCATAGCAGTTGGAATAGTCATCATCTTCTGCATTGTCTGGTGCATCATCTGGGTTCGACGCTGGTTGACGGAGACGAAGCTTGGTATGGATGGCAAGTTTGCACAGCAGCCTGCCGATACCAACGATATTGAGTTGGCTTCTTCTGGTAATAAGTACGCTATTGGAAACCATCCCGAAGCACAGGACAGGGTGTATTGAGCTTATCTATTATCATTATTGGGAATATGGAGTGTTGGAGAGCGTTGCAAGGCGTTGTGTGTGGGCATTTCCTAATCAAACAGAGCGACCTTCATAAATACCCTTTACCCGAACATGAGATATCGCGAAGCGTGGTTAATTTGTAATAGTTAATGACATTAATAAAACCCCTACAAGACGCGAGACACGATGGAAGCAATCTGTGCATGAACAGATCCGATCTAAACAGTATTTTGAGCCTCATGTTTTCTTGCTCATAGCCATCCAAATGATCCACTACCTTTGAGCCTCATGCTAGTAATAGTATCACAGTATATGTACAACGCCCATGCATCCGTCACGCCGTTACTTCTGACAAACTCCGTCTAGCATTTAACCAAAATCCCACGTCGCTTCTCTGACTCACGAATCTCAAACATGACCTGAATGCCAACGAACAAACAAGAGCACGCTGTAACAAGGAAAATAAGCCCTGTTTGTGTTTGTGTTAGTGATGTGCTTCCACAGAGTCTTTATGTGCCACTTACCTGACCAGTCATGCAAAATGCTCTGGATGATGCTCTGCAAACCGTCCAACCCAACAGCAAAGCCAACCAAGTTGGCTGAAATCATCATGAGTACGTTACCCACGCTGCCTACGCAGCAAAGCATACGGTATGCTGTTGGTCGGTCCTCCCACTTGCTCTTGGGGAACATGGCCGCCGCAATCCACTCCGGTACCATGAACAGAACAATCAGCCAGCCCCAGATTAGCAGGCGGAGCTGAATGTCGTGCCAGAGTGCCACGAACGTGAATACAAGAAGGAATGTCACAATGGACCGCACAGTGGACCGCCAGTTACGGAACGATGAGCCGCCTAGGGGTATGTAGATGTACCTGATCAACCAGCGGTTATACGAACGGTGCCATGCTCTCCAGAAGAGCTGTGTGCTGTAGTTGTTGCTCACACAGCGAACCATGTTTTCAGGCGGATCTATCCCATCAACCAATGACCAAAGTCGGAACATACGCCAAGGGATCAGAAGCTTCAGCCAGATGATATGGAGGTTCATGAAGGACAGCATTGACAATTGTGCTGCCGTATACGAACTCCAATCAGGCTTTCCTTTGCTAATCGCACCAACCCAGTCATAGTGCAGAATGACCTCCATTGACAGCAGGACCAAGAGGAAGCGGATACCGTATCGGATTGTTCGGTTTGTTTCGATACTGGCAGCTCGGTACTTCGACTGTGAGATGTAGTCATTAAACGTGATGATAGGTCCTGTCAGGTAGAGCGGCGCATAGATGGCATATGCCACATAGTTGCGGAAGTTGAAGTCTCGGGGCTCTGCAGAGATGCTGACACGATCTCTTTCAGAGAGGTTTGCTGGGTCCAGTTGCTTCTTCTTTAAGCATCAGAGCATGATCAGAAATAATTCCCAACTCCTAAGCAATATAGTAACTTACCTCGAGCGCATTCGAGTTGCCACGATCAATACTCCAATAGTAGTCCAAGTTGAAACTGATAAGACGTAGAATAGTGAGGTTGAAGAGAACCTCCCAACGTGCTAAAATTCCTTGGAATGTGCTATCCATACGAGCTCCCAAGTTCATCAAATCCGAGTTAAGGAGTCTCATTTTGTTCTTATACAGGCCCATTTGTGGGGGTGAAATGAAGCTAAATAGAACCCGGAACCGCCATCCTTCGGTCAATTCGTTGGCGAACAAGATCGCAATGTTGAAGATCCAGGTAGCGGCCGGAACATATCGTCGAGGAAGCTTGGTCGCAAGCTGAAAATTGGTCCAGAGGATGAAAAAGATCTTGAACGCGGAAAGACCATGTAAGGCGAACAAGAATATGAATGCGAATAGAAAATCGAAGGATGCTCGCTGGTCTAGTCGGTTGCGTCCTCCCTGGCTCCGCTCGGGCAATGGCTTGTACTTGTTCCAAAGCTTCCTCAGCAGCGGGTGGAAAAGAAGAAGAGAGCCCATATAAGGCATGTTCTCGCGGAATACACCATATTGCGCATCGGAAACGTCGATCTGTCGTCCAGGAATCCAGCCTGGGGATAGCCATCGCTTGAATTTGGGGTATCGAGGGTCAGATTCTGGTCTTTGTTAGCCTAAGGGCCGCAGAAAACACAGCGATAGAAATATACCTCGCGAGACATCGTATGTGATCCAGAACATGTAAGGAATAGCTACAGCAAAGACAACATAGTAAAGGCAGAACTCGGGCGTCTTCCATTTCGACGGTTGCGCTCTGCTCCGCTCCTTCGCTGCAGAATCCTTCTTTATGCTCGAATCTAATCGCGCTTCGATGACGTTTTGGTAGGGGGTAGAAGAGGCTGTAGTGAATCGTGTGTCGAGAGTATCATGGTCGTAGAGACTGCTTAAGAAAGCTAGAGGACCCATGATGGCGGTGGTCCTGGGTCAATGCGACAAACTTCTTAGCGCATGGCGGAACACGTGGAAGGAGAGTAATTGCCACGAAGTAGAAGAATTGAACAGATGCGAAAAAGCGAGCGTGAGAAGAGATAAAAGCAGGTCGCACGTGTAAAGAAATTGATGCAGTCGTGGCCTTCGTGGGGTGCGTGAGATGGAGCTAGTGGTGTTCACAAAAAGGGACCTCCCACCGATCCGAGGCACGGTTCAAGGTGGGCTGCCCTCCACTCAGTGGCTGCAGGGGGTTGAAGCTCCAAGGGGAAGCCCCTGACGAGGGAAATAGGGAGACTGTCACTCGTCCGCTTGGCTTTTGAGTTGGGGCCTGACCTAACATTAGAACTCACTTTAATATCAGACTGAATCTAGACGACGTTTGAAGACGATAATAATTTTATTTTTGCCTTTCATCTTTGCCCACACGCATCATCATGATAGTGTTTGGATGAGAATTATTCAGGATCGAAAGCAAGTTTAGGGTAGGCAGTTCGAAAAAAGGCAGCCATCCAGGAGCTGGATGTTGCAGGTCACAATGGCACAATGCAAGCTCATGAATATGTCTAACTACAAACATGTTGCCACAACAGCAGTGATACAGCCTTTAGTGTATTGAAAAGATATTATTTTTGGTCTTAATGCTGTAGTTTTGCGTGTCATGTGTTTTCAATTCACAATCAAGCATTCAGTTACTTTCTGAACTGCACTTTGTAAGGAAGATCCAACCAACAAGCATCCATACATACACAATGTTTCAATAACGACTTCACCGATGTATCACTGAAAACATGATGGATGCTGAGTTTCAATCATGGTGTCTGGCTACTGCATCAACTTCACCTCAGAGTTCATCCATCGGATAGGTCGAATGTCTGAGTTACCACCAATTTGAAATAAGGAAAGCAACCAACTTAAAGATATACTGTAAGAACCATAGAAAGGTCGCCCTAGGACTTACAAAATGGTTCGGAAGGTTCCTCAAAGCTATTCAGCTTTGGCTGACGTAGTTGCTGATGCCTATGCTGAGCGTCCAACTCACGATGAAGACAGAGTCTAGAATCATGATATTGAATTACACGGCACAATCAGTATGCTGGAGCAATACACAAACCGTCACACTCGGAACTTTAGCATCATATGATGGGTTAGAATACTAGAGTACAGCTTGGAAATGATTCTGGCAAACTTGCCTATCATGTGCCAACTGGCAAATCACAACATTTTGTAACGATGAGCAAATGGGTAGAAGAAGATGGCAAAACTTTGGGGCTCTTTTGGTTTATAAGTATGTGTTGATTTGATTATTCAATTAGTCTCCCGTTATTATTGTTTAATACCATATCTAAATTTCTATCAACAAATCTCATCTCAACTCGCAAGACACTGAAACATCTCATCCCTATCCTCACTTCAGCAAACCGAAACCAACCATCTCATCAATCATCGACCCTCTTATCCAAAATGTGCAACTGGAACATCTATCTCTGGAAGTGCAACTGCTGGACCCTGGTCATCAAAGAGCCATGCCACTCTCGCCGCCAGCAGAAAACAGCCAACTGCAACCAGATCCAACAGGTGCGAAAAGAATGGGTTCACATTCAGGATAAACCATGCGTGAACCACCGAGCGAACCCGGATCTCTACATCAATGGACCGACTGCCAAGTGGGAGGATATAGAATCTACTGCTTATCAGAATGCGAAGTCTCATGCTGAAAGGGGAGAGTTTCCCGACTTTGCTGAAATCAGCACTTGATTGACCAGTTATCTGATATATGGTCGGCTCATTATTGGGCTTTTGTGAACGAAAGGCCGGCCATACCTTTGACATGATGGTATGGGATTGGGATTGGTAGCTTTATTATTATCATTAATCTAAAGACTTTTCGTCCGCTCCTGAATATTGACTATGGTAAAATTTCGTCCTAGCATGGGTGTATTATCATCTGGGAGTCTATTTCTCCAATTTCTTACGAATCTCCTCATTGATACTCTGCATTGCCTTCACCAAAGGCATAACATCCCGATTTCCTCTACACAGTAAGGTTGATTGATCGCTCAACCGTTCAAGTGCTTTAATATCTGCCATGTAAGAGTGAGGATCCTCAGCTCGCAGTATCGTATTGGCCAGGTAGGCAAACGCGACGAAGCATCTGTATGCACCAAACAATGCTGTCATTGTTACTCCGTAAGGGTATATCACCAATAACCGATTGAGAGCCGCAATAACACAGCGGGCGGCGTCTTCCACTATGGGAGAGTCTGGGATATCTAAATCTGTTGTTGGGGGTCTTGGAGATGTCGAGTTCAGAAGAGCCATCTTGCGAAACATGTAGATGATGGAAGTGTAGCCTGTCAAGATGACATCGACTACAACCCAAATATCTTGCTCGTTATCTTGAGCACCTTCCAGCCATTCAGTCTGATAATAGTCAGCAAAAAGGTTTATCCTCATACCGCAATATCTTACCAGCTGCCATTCAGTGAAGATCTGTTGCATCTCGCGACAAAGATCTTCCGTCTTAGCCACAATCTCAGGCTTGGTAGTGTTCTCTGGGTCATCGAGCATAGCAAAGAACCGAGCGATGATAAGACTGACTCGCGAACTGGCCAAGAATGCAATAGTCTGCATTCCCTGTGGCAGCGGTCCCGAATCTGGGTCCAGCCATGGCAGATTGACCTTCCATATGTCGTTGGTGATAACCGGAGGGGTATTGAGCATGAGTCGATAGAATAGATCAATTTGAATGACCTCCCAAAAACCTCGTCTCTCATTATCGCACGTGGCTTCGCTGAAAAACGTGTTGTTTTCGTCCGAGTCTAGCTTGTGAAGGTTGAGAGTCTGGCAATATTCGCATGCGAGTTTGAACATCCTCCAAGCAAGGTCGTAATCGAAGAACTCAGCAGCCATGCGGCTCTAAATGGCGTTGTTAGATCGCAAGGAGAGATTGCGTGATAGAGACTTACTGTAAAGAGAGCAGCGATTAGATCCGTCATGGTTCCCGATGCTTCTCGTTCCCAGCTGGGTACTGCGCGCAAACATCCCAGGTAGCTTGAGTTCATGTACCCCAAACTCGAAGTAGATGTAATGTTACTGGCTTTTAAGCTGCAGCCATGATACATAATGCAGTAGTATATAACAAGGATGACCGGATCAACGTGGATGTGTGGTAGATTGATGATGTCGGGAATCAAGTCGATGATTCGTCTGTCCAACAAGCTTAGGAACATGCAAGCGGGCATGTGCTGAAAATAGTCTAACAATGTCAGCCAACATCGATGATTGCATGGAAAAAACGTACTGGAAACCCAAGTCTTGGCCAAGTTTGTGGGAATGTCTATTGAACTGGTAATGACTGTAGAGCCAAACGACCTCTTCCTCAGTTCCTGAACATGGTCGACTGCATCCTTCAGCACAGTCATAGCATCCATCTCACGACCGGGATTGTGAGGAGTCAAGGCACTGGACTCATGACCATTAGTGCTGAAAGCCACCGGCGAAGAAGAGATCTCAGAGCCATCGCCAGAGGGTGTTGGTATCGATTGACCGTTGGTAGATGACGGCCCAGCAACAGTCTGTGCCTCGAGGCGCTGCAAGCGATCAAGGATAGTCGACAGAGCAGCATTGGAACCATCCCCCGAGCTGAAAGAGTCAATGACCAATATTCAACGATTACAATCAAGACTACTCACAGGGCTGGGTCGATCAATGGCCGCGCAGACCTCCTCTTGACCCGAACAGGATACACACATTCTAGATCATTTGGCTTGCAGCGACCACACTGTGGCATAACACGATTGCATCGGACTTTACGTTCCTTGCATCTCTTGCACTGCAGCCATATCAGATACAGCTCGGAATCATATTCAGCTCGGTAGTTGAGAAAGGGAGCTCACAGAAAGACGATTGAGTTGTTCCGATCCGGTGACCCCGGAAGACGACATGTTGAAGAGCCTCAAGATCAATTGACAGAAAAGTCCGAGATGAATCTGGTATGATGAGCCCAAGATCAGACGATGGCGGAGATTCGGTCTTATCTACCCCCGCAGTCGGGTAAAGAACAATACGAAGAAAACCAGTACGTAAAACCACACTATTAAAAATAACAATACAAAGCCACAGGGGTGCAGTAAACTCAAAATGGACTGTGTTTGCCCAGGTTCAAGTGAACGCCACTTACCAGTTCAGGTATATTTACGAGAAGTCTTGGCATATAAGCGTCCGAAAGTCTGTGCCAAGTCTGGGGTTCTCACCTGGAGCCTCGGACTTTCAAAGTCCGAATTGCTTCAATGATCCACAGACTGTGGGAATACCCAGATGGGCCAACATGGGGCTTTATGGGGTTGTATAAGTTAAGTTTTCTTTGTCTTTGACTCATATTTCATCAAATAAATACTTGGTTCTTTGCTTAGAGGTTCTTCTCTCAAACATCTTCATGCTCTTCAAGCTCTAACAGTTCTTCAATTACAGGCTAAGCCATCGTTGGTCCTGAATCTTCAATTTCAGCCTCATTATCATTCATATACACCGGAGGCATCACCAATTAGAATCCCATCTTCAAAGATAATTCACGATGGCAACCAGCCCACAGCTCAGCTCTGGGGCTGGTACCCCCAAGCCATTCTACCACAACGACATCGGCTCAACATGCTCAACCCACGTCTGCACCGAGAAGAACACTGAAGTTCCCATGAGTGAAGACGACGAATACCAAAACAATGAAGAAGTTGTACAACTGGCTCGAGAACTCACAAGGCGATCGAGTGCAGCACCAGGGACTCTCTTCCCTCAGGCAAGCGGTCCATTGAACCCCAGCAGTGCAAGCTTCAATGCCAAAAAATGGGCAAAAGCGTTCTATGACCTACGGACTGATACGTCTGAAGGAAACCCACCAAGAACAACTGGTGTGGCTTTTAGAAACTTGAACGTATTCGGTTTTGGATCAGATACAGACTTCCAGAAGAGTGTGGGCAACATCTTCCTTGAGGCTGGTACCATGGTCAAGAAGCTTCTGCATGATAAGCAAAGAAGAGTCGATATCTTGCAAAATCTGGAGGGTGTTGTGCAGAGCGGAGAGATGTTGGCTGTGCTTGGTCCTCCAGGTTCAGGCTGTTCGACATTTCTCAAGACTATCGCTGGCGACACACACGGATTCCACATTGACGATTCATCAGAGATCAACTACTCCGGTATTCGACCTGAAGAAATGCGCTCAACTTTCCGCGGCGAGGCCATTTATACAGCTGAAGTTGACCATCACTTTGCGCATCTCACAGTAGGCGACACACTCTACTTCGCCGCGCGAGCTCGCTGTCCAAAGAATATCCCAGAAGGTATTTCTCGACGGGAATATGCAGAGCATTTACGAGATGTCACTATGGCCATGTTTGGTATCTCTCACACAAAGAATACTCGCGTGGGAGATGACTTTGTGAGAGGTGTTAGTGGAGGCGAGAGGAAACGAGTGACGATTGCAGAGGCAGCGTTGAGCTATTCGCCGCTTCAATGTTGGGATAATAGCACGAGAGGTCTTGATAGTGCTAATGCGCTTGAGTTTTGTCGGACGTTGAGAACGCAGGCTGATGTTATGGGGTGTACTTCTGCTGTGGCTATTTACCAAGCGTCTCAGGATGCTTATGATGTGAGTCTCGAGTAAGTATGATGATGGACTTCAACTGACTGGTGCAGGTATTCGACAAAGTACTCGTGTTATACCAAGGAAGACAAATATTCTTTGGCAAGACGAAAGAAGCAAAAGCCTACTTCGAAGGTTTAGGCTTCGTCTGTCCTGAACAGCAGACCACAGCCGATTTCTTAACATCCATGACAAGCCACCAGGAACGAATCATCCGCGAAGGATACGAAGGCAAAGCTCCCCGATCACCAGACGAGTTTGCGCAAGCTTGGAAAGACAGCGTCCACCGACAACATCTTCTCACTGAGATGGACGAGTACACCGAGCGACATCCTTTCGGAGGCGAACACTACGAAAAGTTCGTTGATTCAAGGAAGAGAGACCAGTCCAAGTCGCAGCGCATCAAATCACCATTTACCTTATCTTACATGGAGCAGATGAGACTTACACTTGGCCGAAGCTGGGTGATGCTCAAAGCCGATCCTAGCGTAACAGTTACTCTCCTGCTATGCAACCTTGTCGAGTCTCTTGTCATCGGAAGTATCTTCTACAATCTTCCCGAAGACACAGGGGCATTTCTCAAACGCGGACTACTCATCTTCTTCATTCTTTTGATGAACGCTTACAACAACATCTTGGAAATCATGACCCTCTATGCCAAACGAAACATCGTCGAGAAACACGCGCGCTATGCTCTATATCACCCAAGCGCCGAGGCCCTTTCATCGATGGTAGTAGATTTACCATACAAGATCTTCAACACGATCATGATGAATACGACGATGTACTGGATGGGAAACCTTCGTCAAGACGCCGGCCACTTTTTCTTCTTCCTCTTGGTTTCCTTCGTGACGACGTTGAGTTTCTCAATGCTCTTTCGTCTCATCGCGTCTCTTACCAAGACCATCGCTGCGGCTTTGGCTCGAGCTTCGATTCTACTACTAGTTATCGCTCTCTATACCGGCTATGCAATTCCACCTCAGTACATGCCCGTTTGGCTTGGATGGATCCGCTGGATCAACCCGACTTTCTATGGACTCGAAAGTCTTTTCATCAATGAATTTGGAGGCAGAAACTATCCTTGTTCCAACTTTGTACCCAGCGGGCCTGACTATAGCGACATCTCACCATTTTCGCAAGCTTGTGCGGTTCAAGGTTCTGTACCGGGAGAGAACTATGTTCGAGGATCTGCATACCTTGCTTCGGCATACGGCTACATTGACTCTCACAAGTGGCGCGACTTCGCTGTTGTCATCGCCTTCACGATTTTGTTCATGGGTCTTCACTTGATCGCCACAGAGACAATAGCCTCTGAACGTTCAAAGGGCGAGGTTCTCGTGTTTACTCGCAAGGAGATGAAGAAGCACGCCAACAAGGCCTTTGATGATGAGGAGACTGGCAAAGTCAGCGGTGCACAGCTAGCGAGTGGTAATGGTAATGGCGAGGTCACGGATGTCGAGGAACAGACCTCGGTTTTCCACTGGAGGAATGTCTGCTATGATGTCAAGATCAAAGGAGAAACAAGGCGAATTCTGGACCATGTTGACGGTTGGGTGAAGCCGGGCACCCTGACTGCTCTGATGGTAAGAGATGAGCCACATCAAAATGAATAAGTACTAACATGGTAATAGGGTGCCTCCGGCGCTGGTAAGACCACATTACTAGACGTCCTCGCAAGCCGTGTTACAATGGGCGTCGTAACAGGTCAAATGCTCGTTGACGGAAAACTACGAGACGAATCCTTCCAACGCAAAACAGGCTACGTTCAACAGCAAGACCTTCACGTCCACACCCAAACAGTCCGCGAGGCCCTCAACTTCAGCGCCCTTCTTCGCCAACCAGCCCGATATACACGAAAAGAGAAGCTAGATTATGTGGACACCGTGATCAGTCTTCTTGATATGCAGGAATACTCCGATGCTATCATCGGCGTGCCAGGCGAAGGACTCAACGTAGAGCAACGAAAAAGACTGACAATTGGTGTTGAGTTAGCTGCTCGGCCCCAATTGCTGTTGTTTCTGGATGAACCGACTTCTGGACTTGATAGTCAAACGTCTTGGTCTATCTGCAACTTGATGCAAAAACTTACCAACAACGGCCAGGCTATTCTCTGCACGATCCATCAACCTTCAGCTATGTTGTTTCAACGCTTTGATCGACTACTGTTGTTATCACGTGGCAAGACCATCTACTTTGGCGATATTGGCAGGAATTCCAAGGTTCTGGTTGACTACTTTGTTCGCAATGGAGCACCGAAGTGTCCAGTTGGTGTTAATCCCGCTGAGTACATGCTTGAGGTTATTGGAGCGGCTCCGGGAGCTCATACGGAGATCGATTGGCCTGAAGTTTGGGGTAAATCGCGCGAGCATGAGAATGTTCAGCAAGAGCTTGAGCGATTGGCATCTGAAGGGGATGCACAAGCTGTGCTGGATACGCACGATGGAACTGAATATAATGAGTTTGCTGCTACATCATACGTGCAGTATACACAGGTCACAAAGAGGTTGTTCCAGCAGTACTGGAGAAGCCCTGGATATATTTACTCCAAGGTCATCCTGTCTGCAGGTGCAGTAAGTATTCTCTACCACATATATGGGAATGCCACTAATCATGGAAACAGTCTCTCTTCATCGGCTTGTCATTCTTGAATGGTCAAAACACCGAACGAGGTCTCCAGAACCAAATGTTCGGCGTTCTCATCTTCCTCACGATCTTCACCCAGGTTGTCCAGCAGATGCTTCCCGACTACGTCGCCCAACGCACCATGTACGAAGCACGTGAGAGGCCATCGAAGACATACTCTTGGAAGGCATTCATGGTTTCTACAATCTTGGTAGAAGCCGTGTGGAACTCGGTAAGACATTATTTTGTTATGCTGTGTGAGAGAGGTGTTACTGACACATACGTAGCTTATGGCTGTGCTCTCTTTTGTTTGCTGGTATTTCCCGACAGGACTGTACCGCAATGGCTATGCGACTGATACAACGGATGCTCGAAATGTGACCGTGTTTTTGTTTGTGTGGATGTTCTTCATGTTTACTAGCACTTTTGCGCATATGACCATCGCGGGCTTTGAGACTGCTGAAGTTGCGGGCGGTCTCGTTACTCTCATCATGATCATGATGTTTTCTTTCTGCGGGTAAGTCACAAAGTTCCCGGTCACTCGTAACAGCCACTGACTTGTGTTAGCATTCTCGCATCACCAGAAGAACTCCCCGGCTTCTGGATCTTCATGTACCGCGCCTCACCCTTCACATACGTCGTAGAAGGCCTAATGGGTACATCAATGGCGAACGCCGACGCAGGATGCGAGAACAACGAACTGATCACCTTCACTGCACCCAATGGTACAACATGCGGCGAATACATGAAGTCGTACCTGTCCAACGTCGGCGGATACATCGCCAACACT